CTTTGCCTGTTTCACCTTTTGGACCAATTTAGTATCTGTACAGTAGTCACTTCAGATTGTTATCCAAGTATTTTACTGCACTTTCAGGTACTTTTGAAGTCCATGTATTATTGTCTCTCTTGTTCTTTTTCATTTCTTCATATACATTGCCCTTGGATTAATTTATTATCTACTAATATTCATTTTAGTTCAGGAATTTTCTGAAAGCTGAAAGCCTAACAGGTAAATTTTAATTTGGATATTTCTTCTTTTTTCATTACAAAGAAACCAAAGATTTTTAATGGAACATTTTTTAATCTATATATCATCTTTAATTTCTGCATTGCCTTCTTATTCTTCCATTTATGATATAATTTTTATATAAACCAGCTAGCTTTGAGATTTTGTATTTGGTCTTCTTCTTCTTCTTCTTCTTCTTTTTTTGGTTTTTTTGCTCCTTTATATTGATACAACTTTATCTGGACAAAAATATAAATACTCGTCTGTGTGTGTGTATACCTTCAAATTTCTTGACCTGTTTCACAAACTATAATAGAATCAATTCTTAACATGACATATTTATATTAAATGCTTGTTCTTTTTTTCTCTCTCATCCATACACCCAGGCGCACACACTCATATACACATTACACAAATGTTTGGACAACATACTTTCATAAAAGACTGGAAACCTTATGGACTTTTTGAAAATGAAAAAAATGAATTGGTAATTTACAGATTTCCTGATTAAAAAGGGTTGAATATGGAAAGAAGGGAACCATGTAATGTAATCTTAAAGAGGGAGGAGAGATAAGTTTGCTTGTAACTGCTGTAAACAAAATCGGAACTCGCTTTATATATCTTTTTCTTTATGTGTATCATTTCTTGCACTTTTTCTTTTTTCTTTTTCTTAATTTCTCGTTACATATTCTCATGTCTATTACTTATGTAAAAATGTCTAATAAAAATTATGTATATATAAAAAAATGTTTGGAGAGTAGCTCTGGCAGCATTTGAGAGCCATGATTCCTTCTTTCCTGCTTAGACGTTTCTATTACAAGTTCCCATGCTCAGAGGAATTCCTTTGGTATTTATTTTCTTTTGCAATTTGAAACTACTATATTATTGTATATATTTGGCAAGCGATTATGTTTGGAAGTTGGTTTTGCTAATGGGCGTTTTCTTCAGTTGGCAAATTCTCTAGGAATCAATTGTGCTATCACCAAGCTTACTGTTGCCATGAGATGTTTATATATTCTTAACCAATGTATAATAGGAAGGTAAGAAGGCTAAAAGGACAGGAAGAAGGTCACTCCGGAAATAGATTTTTTTTCTCTTACTACTTTTCTGCATTTGGTTTCTTCTGAATAGTTTGTTGTGTTTTTACTGTAAAATTGGCAGCCATATGTATGTTTTAGATGTTATTAATCTACATCCTGCATTTCAATTTAAAGTGGCTTCTTAATGCTTAAAATTAAAATTCTTCAGCCTTCAAAATGGCTGTGGCCGTATTTCTTGCTCCACTGGCATTTCGTCTGGAAAGGATCTTGGTTTTAAAATGAATGTGCCATATGAATGTTTGTGGGTTGTAAAAACTGCTTGCCATGTAATAGCTGGTAAGACTCAACTGCTTTTTAATAAAGAATACTATAGCTGGAATATCTGTTCTTTCCTTGTTATTTATAATGATGTGGGCT